TCATGAGTCAAGGAAACAGTTGTATAAAGCTGCTCTTAGACCACTGAAACCTCCACAACCATTTGCCAGTTGACTTTCAAACATGGAGGACTTTAGAGCTTCTAGAAGAGGGTCTGGGGATGCAGCCCCGTGGGTCAAACTTGCCTAGTACATACAAGGCCCTGAGTTCAAGTCCCAGTATGACAAAAAAGGGCAGGGAACAAGAATGTGCCATGAGAGCTTGTTAGAACTACAGGCATCTGGATTCTGCACTTCAGACCCTGCTCCCACTGTGGGGCGGGGAGCAAGAACCTGTCCCCCAAAGGGTTCTCAGGTGCTGTTACTGATGATGATGGTCTAGATCCAGAACTGGAGAAGTGCTTGTTAGACCTTATGATTAATACCAGCATGGCTTAGGTTTCAGAGGGACAAAACATACTAAACTTCGAATCAATCCCCAAATGCCAAGATTCCAAGCAGCTTCCAGAGTAGAGTCTGGCTTCAGGACAACTCGACCAATACAGTTGTACAGGGCCCATCCTCAGATAAGCCCTGCACTTCAGCCCTAGGCTGGAGCCACTATCTTAAAATTCTTATAGTGGTCTGATATTTAAGTCTGCGAACTGTAGGTGGAAAATCAATGCGACAATGAATCATGCTGGGAGGCACGAAACTGTGGCACAGTCCTGTCTCCCGCCACCTCCCTCTCTCAGTCCCTACTCTTCTTGTCCTTTAACGCATCAGCAAACCCAAGTTTATCTTCCTAGAACCCATTCCCAAGCTTCTTCCAGCTACAACAGCACCCAGCTGTTTGGGAGTCAAAAGTTAGACCCACATTCCTCTGCCATCCGCAATGGTCTAAACACTACCACAGCAAGGGGTGTGCGCTTCAGCACATCCATGCGAGGGCAAGGGGGTAGCCATCCCCAGTCCGTCTGAGAGCCACACCCAGTCTATAGGTGGCTAAGCACAGCACTCTAGAGATGGAGATGCCAGTGGGAAAGACTCCTGGCTCTCTTCCAGATTCTAACTATTCCAGTGTCCAACTGTGCCAGACTCTAAAGGAACAACAACAGGAGTTGAGTAGTTCTTCTGAAATGAAAATATTACACCAATCTTGCAAATAGTCTTTGTATGGGGGATTCATCAAGGACTTTTTCTTTAATTGAAGTGATCACAAGTAAAATAAATATTTCAAAGAGTTGATTAAAACTTCTGGTAAGGACTTTATATTGCTTCTATCTTTCTTGCCATTATAACCAGTTTGTTTATAGTGTGTTTAATGAAGTATATGGATCTTGGTATACTGAAGAATAAACTGAACAAGTACTTCTCAAAACATTATAGTGCACATGAACTCACCTGGAGATTTTGTTACAGTGTAGATTCTGGTTAGATAGTCCTGGAGTCAAATCCATGACTGCATTTTCAAAAAGCTTCATGGTGATGGTGACGTTGTTAATCAAGTCCGGATCTTTGTATTCAAAATATGCTCAGTGCTGACATGCTAAGGTATGCCCACAGGTGCAATGATCAGTGCTGACATGCTAAGATATGCCCACAGGTGCAATGATCAGTGCTGACATGCTAAGGTATGCCCACAGGTGCAATGGTGCTATGTCTGACATGCTAAGATATGCCCACAGGTGCAATGATCAGTGCTGACATGCTAAGATATGCCCACAGGTGCAATGATCAGTGCTGACATGCTAAGGTATGCCCACAGGTGCAATGATCAGTGCTGACATGCTAAGATATGCCCACAGGTGCACTGGTACTATGTCTGACATGCTAAGATATGCCCACAGGTGCAATGATCAGTGCTGACATGCTAAGGTATGCCCACAGGTGCAATGATCAGTGCTGACATGCTAAGGTATGCCCACAGGTGCAATGGTGCAATGAATGAATTGGGACCAGTCACTTCCTGATTTAATTTAAAACTCCACAAGATGAAACAACATGGGCCGCACCTATTAACTGGCCCAAGAACCCACAGCTAGATAGGACATAGGCCTTAGGAGAGAACCTCTCACCATTATTTAGTTAAGTGGAAAAAATATTAAACTTCATCTGAAATACTTACCTTTATAACTCCAGACTAATCCAACTCTCAGCTTTCATCAGAGAAGGTTCTTTTTGTAGTAGATTGTTGTAGGGACGCTGCTTGTTGGTTCCCAGCTACTCAGTCCCAAAATAACCAAACAGAAGCCATATTATTTAAATCACTGCTTGGCCCATTAGCTCTAGCTTCTTATTGGCTAACTCTTACATCTTAATTTAACCCATCTCCATTAATCTGTGCATCACCACGAGGTTGTGGTCTACCAGCAAAGTTTCAGCACATGTGTCTCCGATGATGGCTCCATGGCTTCGCCCTAACTCCGCCTCCTTTCTCCCAGCCTTCAGTTTAGTTTTCCCCGCCTAGCTCTGTTCCTCTATAGCTCTGCTATAGGCCCAAAGCAGTTCCTTTGTTAACCATTCACAGCATACAGAGGGGAATCTCATATCAGCTGATGGTCAAAGTGCAGAGAATAGGAGACCATGCCATTCTTAGCAGTAAATGGTAGCACTGTATCTCACCCTCTGCTTTGGAGGCTCACGGAAGTAGTTGGGGAAATTAGAAAGGCCAGAGAGTAGAGGATTTCTATGAAAAAGTGATTTTTGGTCATGATCAGGACATCACACACCTGAACTTGCAGTACTATCACTATGCACAAGATCTGTACATGATCAAGCCAGATAATACTCCAGTATGAGTGGGGAATGGGCTCACAAAGCCCCAGCCCTAGCTGAGGGCTATGGCAACTGATAGCTACAGGGAACAGGGAGATACAGCACCTGATAGACTGGCCATGTTCCAGAGGATCACTCTACACCCACACAAGGTACTGGCCACATTAAGGGGACTTGATGGGTTTTAAAAACAGTACATGAAGTTAGGAGGGAAAAATGGTAAGAAGCATAAGAAACGTTGTAAGGAAGGGAGTCCGGAATAGATTTAATCAAAATCGTTTAATTAAATCTTCTAATTTCCACATATGAAATTAAAAACAATCTTTTAAAATTTAAAACAGTAACAAAATACGGTTTATGGCCCAGCAACTCTCAGAAGACTTCCCAGCCCCACTCTAGGCCTATGTTTCAACATGATCCCCAACAGAGTCATAAGGACACGAAAGTCTGAGACCTACCCTAGACCTTCCGACTCCTTCTCTTTCCACTTGCTCTGCTTCCCAAATGAATATCTGTCATTTGGAGTAACTGATGATGGTTTCAGTCTCCCATCCATGTCCCAGGGTAGCAGAGGTTCAGCCTATATGCAAAGACTCCCCTGCCTGCTTCAAGAAGGAACGTAGCATTGCAATAGGAGCACCCAAGCTCCAAACATACCCAGGGTTCAAACTGTGCTTCTGCCTCCCGTGAGCTGTGTGACCTTGAGCAGATTACTTAGCTTCCCCCATGCCTCTGTTGGCGCGTTGAAATCAGGTGTAAATCAGGACCTCCTCCAGAAGATCTCTGAGTATTAACGTCATAAAGCTCTTGGAATCATGCCTTGCACACAGCAAGCTCTGCAGCCATGTCTCAATACGAATTTGAAAATATAACTAGCTTTTAAGTTTTCTGTTCCAGAGCCTCAGGACTTGCACAACTTGCATAAGTGAGTCAGTTGCTGAATAACTAAGGATATATAATCTACCTTTCACAAGAGAGACGAGATGCTATCTCAGGCATTTAGGATGCTGTCTGCCGTTAACTAGAGCAGTTGCTATATCTGCAAGACACTTGACTATGGGACCAGTAGCCTTGGCCCAAAGCCCTGACAAGTCCCTGTGTCTAGATATGTATGTCACTGTTATTCCCTTGCGAAAGGACATAATGAAAAGGTCACTAGTTTAAAGGCTGATCTGTTTTGCCTCCATGCAGAGAGTCTATTACTTCCCCAATGGTTCGGCATCTATTAAGAGCTGCCAAGGCATTGTGCAATTTCAGATGGGTAGGTGGTAACCGAATCTCTGTGAATTGGCTAGGAACAGTGCAAGAAGTGGGCAGTACATCCACTGTCGCTCTGCTTCAGTGAAATCCAGCCCCTTCTCACCCCATATACTGAAGATGCAATCAAACATAATGCCAGACAGACTCTGCTGCACGCGCAGGCTTTGCACACGTCTGCTAGAGCCACAGCCCCCAGTTCCTGCTGTGCCCCATCCATCACCGTGTCTTGCCTCGATGGTGCTTGTAAACTCAAGGTGTGCTCCCGAGCAGTTATGTGCACTTGGGATTTCCGCTTCTGATCCGTCTTTAGCTGTCTCTTGGACCCAAACTGATTGCAGGCAGGAGAAAACGGTTGAAAATATCATGACATTTAGATTTTTAAAAGCACATGGTGGTGGCTCAACGGGTTTGCTTACCGTGGATTAAAGCCTATTAAGGCTCGGGCTCTGTCCTCTCTGGCGGGATTGTTTCTGACTCACATGTGGTGACTTGCAGAGCGCTTCATTACAGCTCAGGGGCATAACTGGTGCCACGCAAGCCATTAAAAAGGAGTTTTCAAGACTACAAAAAAGAAACCTTTGTAGGAGAGGGCCAATTTGTTCCGAAGACGATGCTCCGGGAGAGCCTTCACAAAGTGGCGAGCATCATCTCAGGTTCAAGCTATGCGCCTGCTCTCCTATTTTTAAATACCAAATAGAGAACGGGGTGAGTGTTTCTTTGCGACAGCAGCTTTGGTTCCTGCCCTTGTTTTCTGCCATTATAGCTCCAGTTAAGCTGTGTGACTAGCCTTGTATAGTTTCTTCAGGGCGGGCGGTGGGCAGTTGTTATATTTGGGGTAAAAATCCACAGATCTGTGTTTTGGATGGTGTCTCTAAGAGAGGCATCATATTCCCTCTGCCTCATTTCCTTTATATTAAAATATTACTACTATCAAACTCAGAGCTGTTGGGAGGACTGAGAAACCAACCAGAATAATTTTGTAAGTAAAAACAAGACATTTCTTTTTATTATTAAAGCAGGTACATTTGCTGTTTACCATCTTCAGATCCCTTTGCTGTTTTTCATAACTGATTGCAACTTATTTTCTTTTTAATTGATCCTATTATTTTTAGATTTGTCTCAGCAGCAAACCAAAACAAATACTTCTGGATAACAGTTTCTTAGTCTAACAAGGTTGCCATCTCAGGCTGGATGACTCTTTTGGGGGTGGGAACTGTCCCCATGTGCTAGGAGAGTTTTCATAGACCCTTGACTTGGACTGCTGGAAGCCAGTATCCCTCCCTTGACCATGTTGCAATGACCAGAAATGTCTGCAGACTTTGTTAAATGCCCCCAGGCATAAATCCCTGCTCTGGAGTGTATCTAGTTGGTATGGTCTATGTTTGCATTTCCTGTACTGCAAGTGGAGAAAGGTAAGAGCAATTCAGCCAGTGAGTGAAAGCTAAGGGAACCAGTAGGCAGAGTCTAAGAGCGTGTGGCAGACATTGACCAGACTGGTAGCTAATAATGACTACTAAAGCCTGGAATGACATAGCATCAGTTACTTTTGACATCAAACTGATACTTTTGTAGCATTTATTTTAGACTACAGTTTCAAAAGGAACTCAGTCCATCATAGCAGGGAAGCTGTGGAGCTGTTCATGGAGACAACAGCACGTGGAAGAGATGCCTTCTATCATGGCCAACCTGGAGACAAAGGCCTGGCTATTACCTTCAAAGGGCTACCATTAGTGACTTGCTTCTTTCAGTTGGTCCTCACTTCCAGAGGCCCCATGGCTTGAGAAGAGCACCACAAATTCAAACATTTAAAATATGCGCACATGGGAAGCATTCAACTTGCAACTAATAGTGAAAACTGAGGCCATAACAGAAATGTTGGAGTGGTGTTAGTCAAGAATAGCTTGGGAGTCTCTGGTGCTGTGGATGTGCATCCTCCAATGGCAAAGTCCCTGGTACTGCACATGGGCATCCTCCAACGGCAAAGTCCCTGGTACTGCACATGGGCATCCTCCAACGGCAAAGTCCCTGGTACTATCGATGTGCATCCACCAATGCCAAAGAATGTATCTCCAATAAGGAAGGAGCCATAGCTAAAGAAAGAAAAGTTACCTTAGATAAAAACTCTCCAATGAAAAGGTGGCAGACGACCTGTAGTAGCAAGGACTTCTGTGTCAAGCAGTGCTGACCTAAAAACAAAAGGATACAGGGAAAAGCACTAAGTGGGGGAAAACAAAGTAGGAAGAATAAAGATTGGAGAAGAAATGACAGGAAAAAACCAACAGTGAACATAGAGGGAGAAACTCTGACCAAGATGAAGGGAAGTTCTGACTGGCTTCTGGACCTGTCTGGACAGACGCCTGCCCAATCTGCATTGCTGATCAGCCCAGCTCACCTTGTAGCTACTTTCTCCCTCCACTGTCATGGCCAGCTCTGCCCATATCTCACCATAGATTCTATCCTGTCCCCACCCAAACCTAATTAACTCCATGGCTGCTGGCTCCTCACACTGATCCTGCTCCAATACTACTGGGCTCATCTGAAGCACAAAATGGGGACGCTGGTGGTATCGCATTGTCAGTCTGGCCCTAAAGGCCCTCCAGGTTCTGTAGTCACCCCCTCTCCAAGACTGTGAATTCTCATTTTTACGTCCCCCACTGTGTTCATCATAAACTCGTTCTGCGAGATGCTGGATCTTGTATAAACTCCCTGCCAAGAATCATTTTTATTTCATGAAGGCTATGGAGGTTTGAAAGAAGATGGCCCCCAAAGGGAGTGGCACGATTAGGAGGTGTGACCATGTTGGAAATGTGGGCCTCACTGCAGGAAGTGTGTGACTCTGAAGGTAGGCTTTGAAGTGTCCTATGTTCCAGCTATGCACAGTATCACAGTTCACTTCCTGTTACCTGCACATCACCATGTCCTCCATGATGATAATGGACTAAACCAATGAAACTGTAAACCACCCAATTAAATGTTTTCCTACATAAAAGTTGCTGTGGCCATGGTGTTTCTTCACAGCAATAGAAACCTAACTAAGACAAAGCTGTAACACATTTTATAGTTTTATATCATTTAAACAAGTTGTGCTTGGTTATGAGATCTGTGTACATTTTGTTCTTCTTTAACCTACAAGGTACACTTAGAATGTAGTAGTTGATAACTAAATACCAAAGAAAAGACAAAAGGAAAGGATGTGGTTGAACTAATGATCCAGATGCTAACAGAGGGGAAATTGAAAGAAGTATAAATAGATGGACTCTTGAGACCACAATAGTCAGCTAGAACAGCGATTCTCAATCTGTGCATCATAACCCTTTCTGGAGTCAAAAGATCTTTTCACGGGGTTGCCAAAAACCATCAGAAAACACAGATAGTTGCATTGTGATTCATAACAGTAGCAAAGTTATGGTTATGAAATAGGAACAAAATTATTTTATGGTTGGGAGTCACCACAACATGAGGAACTGTGTTAAAGGGTCACAGCATTAGGAAGGTTGAGAATCAACTTGATGGTGTCTCAGCAAAAATCCAAAGAGTATAGATGAAAACTTAAAAGGGCAGAGGGCAACATTCAGGGCAAAGATGAATACCCTATGTTGTTCGGCATCTCCAAGGCTAGTTTTGCGTAGCATCAGCACTGTACAGCAATTATGATTCAGACAATCAGTCTTGGAACCCCTTTCACCAACCATGCGGTAAAGCAGTTAGCAAGGGTTGATTCAATTCCACTGTGAATTGTCAGTGAAAAGTTTGATGTCTGCTACTTTATGTTTAAGGAAGTAGGAATAGAGTCATTCTTTTAAAGAATTTTTAGTGAATATACATAAAACGAAGGTAGTTTGAGAACCTGGATAGCAGCTTCAATTTCTTCGAAAACTCGCTTAGCTGGAGTTCCTTGGAACAAAGACATGAAGTGAGGAGATGGGGGTGAGAAGTTTTATTTGTAGTTGACTAGCCTAGCGAGAAACAAGAGTTTGACTCTGATTTGCTTGCCATTAAATGAGAAAATGTGGCCTATAATTACTAGACCACACTGTTCTTGTGTGGGTGGACAATTGGATGATAAGCCTTTCTCGGCTTTGTGTCCAGGAAGTAGACATGAAAACTAGGAAATTATAAACCCTTAGATAATATATATCAATGCTTTAATTTTCATCATTCCTGGAAACCAAGTCATAAAGAAGTTTGTGTTTCCCACCACAGAAGTGAAATAATTGGCAGCTATATTTATTCCTAACCAAATATTCAGAATCAAGGACACCACAGATATCAATGGCAAAATGTCTTGACAGTCAACTAAAAACCCTAGACTAGGGTTGAAGCTGGATGGAGAAAATAGGCTGATGTTTTGCTTTCTCAAAAACAAGAAAGTTTTGTACACAAAACCAATAAAGTTCAATGAATCTGTGTGCGTGTGTGCATGTGTGTGTGTATGTGTCTGTGTGTGTGAAACATGATAATGTTTTTTAAAACTCAGAAAATGAGTCCTGCCCTCAAGGAAGTGACACTTGGGTCAAGAAGAAAGATTACATAAATAGCTCTAATAAAATGTGGGTGAGGAGAGGCTTCATCCCATAGCTGGTGGAAGCAAGTACAAAGAGTCACAGTCAAACAGTAGACCAGGCTCAGGGTATCCTGCTGAGAGCGAGGAAGGATTATAGGAGTCAGAGGGGCCAAGGACATCATAAGAAAATCCACAGAATCATCAACCGGGGTTCATAGGGGCTCACAGAGACTGAACTGACAACCAGGGAGTCTGCATGGGACTGACGTAGGCCCTCTGCATGTATGTCACAGTTGTGTAATGTAGTCTTCTTGAGGGACTCCAAATGGTGGGAGCAGGGGTTGCCTCTGACACTCTTGCTGGCTTTGGGGACCCTACTCCTCATACTGGATTGCCTTGCCCAGCCTTAATATAAGGGGAGGGGCTTACTACAGCCTGATATGCCATACTTTGTTTATATCCAGGAGAGGTATGCCATTTTCTGAATAGAAATGAAGGTGTGGATGGGGAGGAAAAGCGAGGGAGGTGGGGCGAGGAACTGGAAGGAGGGTGGGTAAACTGTGATTGGGTTGTAAAATAAATAAATATTTTTTAAAAAGTTTAAATGTGAGCTATGTTTTGGGCAAAAAGTCAGAATGTCAGCCGTCATCATACGGCGAGTGTTTAATTGTATATGTGCTTGATGAGTTGTTCCTCCAGAGAGGAATCAGTGTGACCGTCAGTCCTGGTTGTTGTCCTGACTGGATTGAGAGATACATAAGGGATTGGTAAAAACACTTCCGGTTGTGTTTCTAAAGTAAGTTAGAATCTGGGATAGCAACCAGGAAAGGACAACCAATCCTGAATATGGGCGGTACCACCCAATGGGTTAACAGTCTAGATATGACAAAATCAGAAGACGCGGTTGTGCCCACCAGCCAAAGTTTGTCCTCACGCTCTCTGTCTCTTGGCTTCTGTGCTGAGAGCAGTCCCTCTGCCTTGTGCTCCCTGTCATGATGGCTCTGCCTTGTCACAGGCCTACAAGCAATGGGACCAAGTGACTGAATTGAACCATGAAAAGAGACCTTGCCTTCCCAGGTGACTTACCTTGAGTATTGCATCACATGGCGAACAGTTAACACATCATTTAATGCTCAGTTAATCTTGTAACACAGATATTAGTATTACCTTCTTTACAGATGGAAACGATGGAGTTAGATTTTAGTTAAAAGATGCTCAACCGTGCCACAAGGACATGTGCTCAACTATGTTCATAGCAGCATTGTTTGCTATAGCCAGAACCTGGAAACAACCTAGATGCCCTTCAACTGAAGAATGGATAAAGAAAATGTGGTACATTTTACACAATGGAGTACTACACAGCAGGAAAAAAAAATGACATCTTAAATTTTGCAGACAAATGGATGGAGCTAGAAAACATCATTTTGAGTCAGGTAACCCAGACCCAGAAGACAATTATCATATGTACCCATCTATAAGTGGTTTTTAAACAAAAGGATAAAGAAAACAAGCCTACAAACCATATAATCCCAGAGAACCTAGACAACAATGAAGACTCCAAGAGGGACATACATGGATCTAATCTACACGGGAAGTAGAAAGAGACAAGATCTCCTGAGTAAATTGGGAGCATGGGGACCTTGGGAGAGTGTTGAGGGGAGGGGAGAGGCAGGGAAGGGAGCAGAGAAAAATGTAGAGCTAAATAAAAATCATATATATATATATGATATATATATCAAATATATATCATATATATATATCTCAAATATATATCATATATATATAATATCCCCACGTATTCTGACTGGAGAACTTGAATTCTGAAAGCAATCCTACATCCTATGAATTTCTGAGATGAAAAAAGCTGGATGAGTGAGCTGTTGAATTAATTAGTTTGGGATGGTGGGATATTGGGGGGTCTATAGCTCTGAAGTTTACAGAAACAGAGAAGAAAGCATACTAGTGGAAGTCTCTGAGATGGGAAACAGGGAAGTACATGACAAATGAATGAGCCAAACATACATTACTGATCTTTATTCAGAGAGTAAATCATATTTCAGAAAAAGCCCCTGTCCGTACCCACCATGTATCCAAGACTGATGACCTGAAATTGATATTCAGAACCAATGTGGGAGAGGGAGAGAAGAGATTCCAAGATGTCTTTGGCACTCCATGCACCCGGACACACACAAGCACACACCAAATAAATAAGTGCATTTTCAATAGCTCTAAAATCCTATTTGGTCTAGGCGTTCTCATATCTAAAGGACAAAATCAAATTTGTCCGTGAGACAGGAGATTCAACCTGTGATGTAGTTGTTACCTATTTATGACCTTTAGCATCCCCTCCTCGGTGCCCACATTCCAGCCAGTGGACCACTTGGTCTTTGATGGAGACAGATTTTCTCTCTACATCCCAACGCTCAGCCCCTGACTTTACTCTAACAGTCCTGTTCCGGTGACTCAGCCTGCAGTCTCCTCTCTGAAAGTGTCCGACACAGTGCAGGCTCAGCATCTTCCTCAAGTTTTTGATGTAGTATACAATTTGAGTCCTGTCTCACCATGTCTGCACCATGGCAAGTTGTTCCCAAATGTCTTATAACTCACTAGATCAAAAACTCTGCAGAGAAGGAGGCTTCTCCCCTCTGTTTCCTAGAACTCACTCTGAAACAGCTAAGTAGC